AATTGATATAAGAAGAGATCCTAAATTTTATATTGATAGGGACTATTAATGGTTGCTTTGGATAGGACAATAGTTATTTAGATAGACTGTGACTATTGAAATATTCTAATCATCTCTGCTGTTTGTGTGAATAAAATAATAAACTACTTAAACAAGAAAGACCTATAATTGGGCAAAATTAAAAATATAAATTTTTATTTATTTCCTCTGCAATATAATGTTTAAAAGAAAATAATTCTAGATGAGAATAATTGTTAACATTGGAGGAAACTTAAAGATGGTAATAACGTCAAAATCAAAAGAAATAAATCAAAGTACAAGGTTAGAAATTGTCCTCGAACACTATTCATCAATGAAACTGCACTTTATTTTCTCGAAAGTCCATAAGTGAAACAGATAGCTGACGTCATCAGGTTAAAATTATGTAGCTGGTCTATGTATTAAAAAGGAATTTTGAGATAAAATTTCAAGCTTTTTTATAAATGTTTTCATAGCAGTTAATCATTAAACATGAAAACCAATCTCATACGGTATGAAAAAAGTATATGTATTGAGAGGTTCACTAACGTGGCCTCATCTATTATATTTACTAGGAAAGCAACCTGTTGTTCTACATCCAATAACCCCATCAGAGTAAGTTATACCTGAGTTTTGCAAATAAAATTATTCTTATCATGTCACACTCCCCCGCACCAAACTTGGAATTGTAATTATGCCTCACATGGAGAATTATCAAGGTACAGGAAGAATTTTATAATTACTATGGTCAGATATTAAACTATCTTTTATTAGTAATGTACATGTGAATGTAACAGGAAAAATTGATATCTGAAGTAGAAAAAAATATAATGAAACATGTTAATGAAATCAGAGAAGGGAGCCCTATGTATCCCTTACAAAGTTTGCTTTGATAATGTGATCTATTAAAGCCTGAACTGTATTTGTGATTTCAAAATATCTGTTACAGAAGAAGAGTGATTCTCTGATCTACTTGATATATTATGTCCTAAAATTTAGGGCTGGCAAGACAGCTCAGCAGTCTAAAGTGCCTGTTTAGGCAAGCTGAGGCACATTCAGTGCCAGCCCCGCCCTCAGGGCAGCCTGAGCTAACCAAAATAAAATAAAATAAAATAAAATAAAAGATAAAATTGGTTTAAAGGAAAAGTGCTTTTCCTTTCAGACAGAGGGAATCCTCATTTGGGTTAGTGAGAATCCTCATTTGGGTTAGTGATAAATATAAAGATTTTTCTTTTCAAACATCATTCCTGGATTCAAATACTATGATTGAGTATAGAAAAGTTCACATATTTAAATCTTTAGAGTACATGAAATGCTGCAGTGCCTAAACTTATATGTCAAAACTATATGATGTCTATAGCTATATTTGTCATTCAACATTTAAATAAAGAAAACTGTAGAGTATTGAGTAATTTAAAATAAAAATAAGGTAAAAATGTTTGTAGTCAGATAATAGTCTAATAGGTAAAAGCAATGTTTTTCAATGAACATCTTCTAGCGGTAACCTTTTCTGTACTGGGCAATTAAGTGTCATGTGAAAAATCCCCTTTTAATCTTGAATATAAGAAGACATGATTTTCTATGTATGGAAATGGAAAAGAAATTGATTTTTAAATTTTCCTAAATATCAAATAACTACAATATGAAGATTTGAAGACAAAATACATCTTTCAAACCCCACAGTGTGAGAGAAGTTTTAATATTTATGTGAGACATGCTACAACTGAGGTTCTCATTAGAAGGGCCGCATGAAATTTGTGTGTGGGAACAATATCCAAAAGCAAAAACTAATATATTTAAATATTTTTGAAATGATTTTTCTAAGAGAACTGAAGAGGAAAGAGAAAAATTTAAATCGAAGAAGAAATGATAAAAAATTAGGATAAAATATTTCCAATATAAATAAAATGCGGAAGACGAAAGCATACGTAGTCTGTTTTCCTTGGGCAGAAGGGAACATATCAACGGAAGGCCTTGGAATGAGAAGACAGTTTCCACATGACAGGAATTTTACTTAAATCACAAATTTTCTCCCCATTTTTCAATGGAACTGGAACTACGTTATGCAGCATTTTATTCTCAGTTTTTATTCCTATTGAAGGACAATACCTAAGCCAACCAGGAAGCTACTTTATAATGCAATTCAAAATGATTCTACTTGGAAGCACACATTGATGCCTATTTTCTTGCTCCATCAATTGTGAGGAAATGATCAAAGACAGCTGAAGGAGTTCAGAGAGTTCCTTAGCCGTGTGCAGTTAAATTTCATAGTTAATGAAGGACACAAATTAAATTAAAATGTTAAGAATAAAATAGTCTTAGGAATCCTGCAATTCTATTATATTTTTAAAGCACAGATAAAACAAAACTAAATTTGAGTATTCAGTAAGTATTTGACTTAAGAAACTAAGCTACATGAAAACTTGGTTTTGGCTTTGGCATCAGGTATTTTAATTAGTTTTAATGTGAATATCACCTAAATGTGATAATGGCAAAAAATATGGTCACCTCTTTACAGTCGATGTATTTTCTGCGTGTCAAAATTATTATTTTCACAATATTGAAATTATCTTCTACAAGCATTTTGCATTAAATTCAAATAGCTTCATTTGATTATTTGAAAAATTACATCTTCAACTGAATATATGGTGTCTAAGTAAAATATTATTTTGATATATCATAATTACAACAGTAAATTTATGATGAATTTTGAAAATGTATATCTTATAGCTAATTCATACAATTTTCTCTTTATCTTTTTATAAAAATCTACTATTTTCTTAGGCTATTATTTTTACTCTGTGTTCTGCAGATAGAGATTACATCAAATATTATGCAAATACAAACTCTTATTGTCTGCTGACAATAGTAATGCTGTATTCCATAGAGCACGCCCTCTCTGTTTCCAAATGGTTAATTAATCGACTTGCATTTTAGGTGGTTAAATAGGGTGGGCTAAGCTGAAAGATCAAGCTAATTATTGAGAATATTAACAGTGTATTTAAATAAATAAACTGGATATTGAAAATAACATCTGCATACACAAAGTGGCCAGCTCCCTTGTTCCATAATGTGAAAGGACCCTACCTAAATGGCATTTCCATGAAATTACATTTCAAAAATCACTGCCCCACTTAATTTTTGAGATAAGACTAGTTTACCTCCAATTTTTCTATTTAAGCATAAAATAAATGGCATTTTATTTCTACTCAGAAAGAAAATGTAGGGCACCCAACAGACAGCTCATGAACCTAGCATAATACATCACACACGAGTAAGGAACAGAAGGCTTTTGAATTTCAGCCACATCGTCTGCCTCAACTCACTGCAAAGAGCAATGAGAGCCAGAAAGGCATGTGACTGAGAACTGTACCAGGAAGATGGGCTAGCTGGAGATAAACAGATTACCATGTCTTCTAATGTCTGCAGTGTACAAAAACTTAGGATTGAAATTGGAAACTGGATCAAATTGTTCTGTAAATTTAAAGGTGACACGAGAATAAAATGGTAAAGTTTATATCACAAAACCCGGATTGGTATTTTTATTTATTTATTTATTTATTTATCTTTTATTTTTCGCGGAACCGGGGATTGAACTCAGGCCCTTGCGCTTGCTAGGGAAGTGCTTATTCCACTGAGCCATCTCCCCGGCCCCCCAGATTGCTATTTTTAATAAAGCATATAGAATATGTTTTATACATATTTGTTTTTAAAAGGAAAGTCATTTTCGATGGGCAATATTTTTTGCGACCAGACATGTTAATAAACTGCATAGCTTTAAAGGCATATTTATTGTGGTATTTTTTCCACTTAATCATTTTTAAAATAAAAATCATTGTGGACTTTCTATAGGGGATGGTCCTTGAAATCTTCCAGTCACTGTCCTAGGAGCCTGCTTACGGTGAACACCAATATGCACATGACAATCGGTCGCTTCTGCTGAATGAAGTCTTACCGATGGATCATCTGCAAAGATGCTGTTAATCCGGTGAACGTAAATGGACGCTCACTTCTAGTCCAGAAAGCAAGCAGTATATGATCTAGTGCTGTTTTTGTCCCTAAGTACAGGCTGCCTAAAGCTGCCGTATTCAATTTGTAAAATGCTTACAATCAAAGAACTAAAGAAGAAAGTATTTTTTAAAAAATCAAAAATACAAACAAACAAAAAAACGGATAAATGGGAAAAAAAATTACCATGACAGTGCTCAATATGTTCTGAGCAGTTGCTGAAACACCACTGAGAATGAAATGAATTATTAACATAAACAGTCTGAAGAAAAAATACCCTAAATTCATATAGTATTACTGAACATTATAGAATCTGCATTTTTATTAATATTCTATCCTCACAATAATCTTGTTCTAAAGAGTGTTTTCCACATTAATTTATCAAGTATTATATCTAATTTATTCAAAATTATGCCTGTTAATAAAATTGGTAGATAATAATAATTCCAACAAGGTTAATTAAGCTAGCAATAACAAATACACTGTGTGTGGAAATGGGTTCTAAGTAATGAACCTGACTGTCTCTGTAGAATTTTTGGAATTTTTTTTGGTACAGCTTTAGATGGAGTGTCCAGTGTTTAAGCACTTTTTAAAGTAAAATATTATGTCTAACCCATTATCTTTTTTTGAAGTCATAAAATTCTATACTCTGAACACCATACTATATCTAACATGAACTGCAATTTAATTAAAATCACATTCTTTCCTCAGCAAGAGAATTTTGGCCTATCCAAAGGATCATTTAAATAAATGCCAAAGATATTCTTCTTCCCTCACAAAATACAGTTCTGCATATCAAAATCATTTTGCACATCACGAGAAGCAGAGGTAGTCATTAAATATACCTTGATACGGAGCACTAAATCCACGATATCGGTGATTGCTGTCTGTAACAAAATGCAGTCTGAGCCAGTTTTTGTTGCTGATAATTGGCGGTGGTATATTCATTCCAGACAACCTGAGTTATGAGAGACAATGACATAACATTTTAAAAGCTTTTCAGCAGTAAACATTTTCATTGAATTGGGACCAAAGGTAAACCATATACATGACTTTCATATCAACTATTAAATGATGAACAAAAATCGGTTTTATACATTGCAAAATCAATTATAGAATAAGGCACTTTCTATTATGTTCCCATCAGGTTGCATTTATTAGTAAAAGCAATTGTAAAACTACGACAGCATATGATTTTGAATCAGACGCATTTATTTATTGCACTGATAAAATATTGATTACATTAACAACTATGACCATAATGGCTATTGATCTGGTGGTGCAGGTACTTGTGTTTCCTATACACTGTTTGTTTGTTTGTTTGTTTATTTATTTATTTATTTATTTTACTGGGAGTTAAACTCACAACCTCACCCTTGTCAGGCAGGCACTCTGCCCCTGAGCTATATCCCTAGCTTATTACTTATATACCTACTGCTACAGTATAGATACACAGTACAAATTTTTCAAAGAAATTGATATCCTTATTTCCAGAGTAAAATCGAGTAGTGATTTTCTTCTACTTTATGCTATCCACCAAATTTCAGTATTTCATCACTGAGGGTAAATTTCACAGCTAATCTATTTTATTTTTCCATTTTATTGGCATAAATGATATATATATAATAATATACAAAATGATAACATTCAACCCCAAGCACTATTTTAATGCAATTTCATACTACCATAAGCTATAAACTATTTTGTTCTTACATAATGTACTAGGTTCTTCCTCCAACGAGGAGGCAGAAATTATTTATTTTTGGTAGATATATTAATCTTAATATATTAGATATATTAATCTTAACATTAATCACAAAGATAGAACTAAAAATATCTTTCAAGCAAACTACTTAAGGTAAGATAAATATGATGTTAATCATGAGTAATATATATGAAGTTTCCTTCCTTCTCTTTGACAATTTCCAGAAAAGTTTTTCTGATTTTATTCATTAAAAGATTATCGCCATCATATACACCCTCCATATAAATTATAGCTATAACATAAACATATGGCAAAAGTATTCTCAGTTCAATGAGAAGAAAGGTTTGTACTAATATTGTTTAGACAAGATATCATGTCTGCATCTTGTGCTCTGAATAACTACTACGAAGACAATAATATGCAATGTATTAATTATTGTAACTGTCCTATGAACCTGCTTTGAAACTTTCATTCTTATTTGGTCTTTTTATCTCATTAAAATGCATAAAAATATAATAAATTCTTAAAAGCAAAAGTTATATCATGAGTAATAGAAAACAATTTTTTAAACAAGTGAAAATGACACAGTTTTACCACCCTCTAAAGCTCACATTTGCCTTTTTCAGAAGGTAAAAGAGGAGATTTATTAGTTTCTGTTTGTGTTTGTGTGGGGTGGGGAGGGGTCACAATTCTTCTTTCAGTGCTTGGCAGTCTTTCATACCACAGTGCCAGTAGCCTGGGGACATAAAAGATGTCACTGCACGTAACCCACTATAAGGGTAACATAGGGACCCTCTATCTGATACACACTTCTTGCCCCTGAAAACCCACCTTTCCTAGGATGTTCCTGAGTTCACCACTCGTAGTGGCTGACCACATGCCAGCTGACTACAAATGCATCTCTCTCTTGTATCATGATGTCCGTTGGGTGTGCAAGGAGTGTTGGACTCCAACACAAGCAACTTGGGCTACATCTTATACCCTTCTTACTTTAATCCTTAACTTGACATTTGTCTCTAAAATTTTCCTAATTTTTGTTTTTACATGAAAGTGGCTCTATTTGTTTGACCAGGTGGCTGATTTTATTTTGCATTCAAATTTACTAAGGAAAGAGGTGAAACTCACTTCCATCATTTTAAAACTTAAGTCTAAATACGTTATTTCATTGCCCTCAGATAAGTCCAAGTTTATGACTCCCCCTTTGTTGTTCTGTCCTGGTTAAAGAAGAATTCAGTGAAGGAATACTTGGAGTTAGTCCAATTATGTTTCCAACGGACTAGTACAGTTCAACCCAGAATTTTTTTTCAGGTTAGTTCTGAACTGATGAGCATGAATATCCATTAGGAAAAGTTTAAATTATTTTGACAAGGCATATACATTTTAAGATGCAATGAGAGGCTAATACAACTATGATTACAATACACTGAAACATACAGTTTGAAAAATAGGCTCTTTAAAGACAAAATTGAAAGGTATTACAAAAGAATTTTAGGAAAAGGGGAAAGAAAATCAAACAAATATTAAAAATGAATAAACTTCCCTAGTTTTCCAAAGACATCTAACATCAGCACAGATTATAGAAAGGCAAATAATAGCCTCTTGCACATACAGTTTGCACTCTGAGTTCAGCTTCAAGAATCTAGGGGGATGCAACTTCAAGAAAGATGCCGGGCTGCCTAAGAAAGTGGAGAGTGTGCATGAGGTAGAACACATAGTAATTTAACTGGAGGGCAACTGAAAAATAATAATTTTCTGCTTATCTGAGGGTTATGACCTTGGGACCCCAGTGAATGCTTGGAATTCAAGAATTCTATATATGTTGAATTATTTCCTATACAAAAATATACAATGGTAAAGTTTAACTTATAAATTGAACATTGTAAAGAGTTAACAATTAATAATAAAATAGAATGATTAAACGTTATGAATGATTAAACGTTATACTGAAAAAATTTCATGTAAGTGTGACCTTTATTGTTTCTCTCTATAAATGTGTGATATAGTGTGTCTCTCTCAAAATACTTTGTTGTACATAAACCTTTTTGCTTGAAGCACTTCACAGCCTCGTTCTGAATGTCTGAATTGCTAGTTTCACTCTCTTGCATTTTAAGGCCATTATTAAGTAAAGTAAGAATTATTTGAATACACTAACGTGATACTAAGATAGTTTACCTGCCAGCCATGAAATCTACTGGAACTAACTAGCAGACAACCTACACAGTGATCATACGCTGGACCAAGTGGTAGTTCACACCACACATGGTGTGAGATTTGACACGCTACACCAGCCACATAATTTACAATATAATGTTCCTTGTATTTGAATATTGCACTCCGTATTCTCCGTCCACTGATGTCTGCAGTTAACTAAAGTGGCAGGATGTGAAATCAACAGGTAAGAGAGAACTGATGCACTTCTGAGAGCCTCCGGGTCTCAGCTACGAAGCAGGCCACTTCGTGGGCCACGATGTTGACCCGCACGTCACTCGTCCGCGGCGCTGCTGCTCTGGCAGGGCAGAAGAAAGAGACGCCACTCACCTAACTAACTCAAATAACCACGTTCTCAAACAGTACATAAAAGACGTCTTAAATACAACTCATTCTTATACTTATTTTATTTTATTTTTTATTTTTTTGGCGGAACTGGGGGATTGAACTCAAGCCCTTGCACTTGCCAAGCAAGCGCTTACTCAACTGAGCTATCTCTCCGGCCCCCCTCATCCCTATTTCAAATCACTATGTCATTTGAGAGTAAGCAATCATGGGTTTATTATTTTGTAAATGAATGAAAATCATATTTTTCATAATGGAGATATTGTACGTAGAATGAACCATTACTTTCAGAACACTGACTATGTGACAATTATTGATAGTTGGAATAGGAGAAATAAAAATAGATTAAGTTCATGATTTCACAATATGAGAAAAGAAATTAGATAGACAAATGAATCAGATGAAATGTGGTACATAATATGTCAGAAAAGAAACATTATAAAGAACTAGTAGAAATAAGGTTTCCCTTGCTTGATATCTTTTACATTTTACATTAAAATATTCATACTCATGATATATCTTCAATTACTTACTTAAATTTTAAGAAAATTAAATCAAAGAAAAATATCATTATGATTATATGCATGTATGTGCATTATTCTGCTCTATTTATTTGTGCCAAAAATAAATTCAACAATATTTTGAGTAATGGATAGATTTCAGTGAAATGGCCTCATATGTCCTGGCATTGTCCATGTAGAAATAGTGAGACTGATAGATTATACTTTGCCACAATGGTTATTTTTTGTAAACTAACTCATACAGTTTTCCCCAGACATAAATAAATCCCTAGCTCATATTTAAAATTAGAGACAATATTTTCTTTCCTGTTAGTCCATTAAAAATATAATTATAATCTTCACAATATACTATTGAAAATACTATTACATAAACTTAAGAAAACTGAGAGACGCACAGCTCTTGTCATTGTTTCTGAAACTGTTGAATCTGTTCCGAGCCTGCTTCTGTTCATTAGACTCTCGTAATCCTCTCGTTTTTTCCCATCACTAATTTTTCAACATTAAGATTTTCAACAACTGCTATCATCTCTGATTAGCCTAATTTGATCCAGTTCTTTGCCTTCTGGATACTCCAAGAATTAAAAGCATCAGCCCAAACAAAAGACGTGCACCCTTGTTGACAGCAGAATAGTTTGTAATAATTAAATCTTGGAAACCGTCCAAATGCCATTCAACCAAGGAATGGGTAAAAAAGCTGTGATATGCATTGTTCATATAAGATAGTAATACTCAGCTATAAAGCGGAATAAACTTGAGACATTTCTAGGTAAATAGACACACCTTGAGAATACATTATTAAGTGAAATAAATATGACACCCAGGTATAAATACTGCATTGCTGTCCTGCTGTGAGAAACTGAAAGAGGAAGCAAGAGCCAAAATGTGTAAGTCATTGTGAAATAGGAAAAAGATGTTCTAAAGGAAAGGGGGTCTAGGGATTGGAGAGAGGAGAAGGAAGGAAGGAAGGAAGGAAGGGAGGGAGGGAGGGAGGGAGGGAGGGAGGAAGGAAGGAGGGAGGAAGGAAGGAGAAGAAAAGACAAAAGAAGAATAAAATGGAAACAAAGCTTCGTAAATTAGGAGGAGTAGAATGGTTGAAAGGAGGGGAAGGGAATGGGAAAAAGTCATGTTTATTCAAGAAAATGTCCCAGTGCTCTGTGGTTCAAATGCAACAACCTATCT